TGCAGATGCCGCTGGGCCTGGGGACCAGGCTTTGAGAATCAGTGGCTCAGACTTTCTCCCCGCAAACCATCATACTGCAGTCACTTCCCAGCTTAAGTCCTTTTATGGTTTCCTCCTGTCTACAGGACAAAGTCCAGACTTCTTGGCAAGACACTCGAGTCTTTTATGCTCTGACCTTGAGCTGTTTCTCTCCAGATCCACTCGTCAGGATTCCACTGACTCCTCGGCTCTTTACTGCAGGATGCTGACCTGTTTGCACGTTGCCAACAGGTCCTTCGCCTTCTGTGAAGGGCAAGAAGAGGATGGTAGGCGAGAGGGAAGCCATCATCTATTTCCCTGGGCTCCTTGCTTCTGGTATTTCACGATGCTGTCATCCCTAAGATCCATACAGACCGGGTTACAGTACTTACTGAGTTCTGGCCATTTTCTCTTTTATTAGTTCTATCGGGCCGATAGATCATAATGGCCTAGGATGTTACTGGTTTCCAGACAAGGTCCCACAGAACTCAGCCACACACTTCTGTGGACAGTCTACTATATTGTCAATCAAGTTTCTCCTCTTCAGTTGCTTTTCTCTTGCTGCCAAGACTCTGGCTGATTCAGGCCTTCATTTTACTTCCTGGTCCCATTTGCACCAACCTTCCAGTTTGGGAGATGCTGGGCACGCGTCTCCCAAACACCAGGGAGTTCACAGGCCAAGCCCTTTCATCTTTCTTTATGCGAATCTCTTCTCTCCACGCTTTAATACACAGATCAAATGTCAGTTTCTCCGTAAAGCTGGCCCACTTCTCATCCAAACATGCCCCTCGTTCCCGGTACTCACGGACAATACACTTTTATTGAGAAATGTCAAACAGAACTTAAAATTCGCATGCTTAAAGTGCCTTTTAGCTACGCGCTTATTGCTGTGGTCTAATTTGGCAGCATTTGGTAAGTCCCATCCCCATTAGCTCTCGCTGTTGACTTTCTGTTAGCCTTACCCCAACTGCAACCTCCAACCTACTTTCTTTCTCTGGGCTTTGACTATCGTAGACGTTTTACGGAAAGAGAGATCTTACTATGTGACATTTTGTGACTGACTTTATTTACTCAACGTAGTATTTTCAAGGTCCACCATCCGTGCTGCGCCAAGTCTCAACACTTTAGATGTTCTGGCCTGTGTTTATCCTCTCACCGGTTGATGGACATCACGGTGGTTTCCACTTCAGAACTATAATGAACGTCGTCGGTATAAACACTTGTGTACGGTTTTCGTTTCGACAGATGTTTTCATTTATGTTGTGTAAATACCTAGGAGCAGAATTTCTGGGTCAGATAGCAGCTCCATTGAAATGTTTGAGGAACTGCCACGGCTCCCCAGAGTGGCTGTACCAGTTTCCATCACCCCCACCCCAACAGTGTACAAAAGCTCCAGTGTTTCCACATCCTGCCCCACAGTTGTTATTGTCTATTTCTAAAATTAGAGCGATGCCGCTTCGTGAGATGGGGTATTGAGTTATGGTTTTCATTTGTAGTTCCTTGATGACTGGAGAAGGTCAAACATCTTTTTCATGTGTTTATTGACCATTTAGACGTCTTCTCGGGAGAAATGTCTAGCTAAGAGTTCTTTACATAGTCCAGATACAAGTCCCTCGTCAGCCCTAGGCGATTCACAATTCCTCTCCTTCCATCGGATGGCCTGTCATTTCACTTTCTTGATGACATCCTTTGAAGCCCAAAGCTATTTCATCTCAATGACGTCAAACTTACCTCTTTTTTTCTTTGGTTGTTTTGCTGCTGTGGTGGTAACTAAGAAGCCTTGCTTAACCTAAGACATTAGTCTTCTGGGATGCCATAACAAACTACCAGAGGCGTAAACAACACAAAAGTATTTTTCCTCGGTTCTAAAGGCCAGGTCAAGATGCTAGAGCAGAGTCGGGTTTGGATTCTGACCCTTCTTTGTGGCATTTAGGTGGCATGGCTGTCTCACTCTGTTCTCATGGCCCAAGTGTGCAGAAAGTTATCTCTGGAGGCTCTTTCTTGTACAGAATAGTTTCAGATAAGGGCCCCACCCTGCAAGCTCATTGATTTCTTTTTTTTTTTTCCTTAAAGGCTTTGCTCCAAGTGCAGTCAGAGGAGGAATTACAGCTTTGTAATGGTTAGTGTTAGTTATCAACCTGACAGATTCTGGCATCCTGTAGGACACAAGAGTCCGGCACACCTGTGAGAGATTATCTAGCTTAGGTTGCTCTCTGAGCACGCCTGTGGTGCGTTATCCCAATTCGGTTAATTGACACTGGAAGAGTGATGCTATTCCTTGGGCTGAGATTTTAGGGGGAATTTCAAGAGTAACACAAAGCAATGAAGTTTTACTCCCGTGCCTTCTGGGAGTTTAACAGTTTGAGGTATTACATTAAGATCTTTGATCACTTTTTAGTTAATTTTTGTGTATGGTATGAGATAGAAGTCCAATTTCATTCTTTGCTTGTAAATACACATTTGTTCCAATATCATTGCTAACATGACTTTTTTTTTTTTTTGCCAGGGTCTCAGTGTATAGCCCTGACTGTCCTGAAACTTGCCATGTAGAACAGGCTGGCCTCAAAGTCATAGAGATCCACCTGCCTCTGCCTCATGAATGCTGAGATCAAAGGCTATGCCCAGCAAATGACAAGTCTTGAATTGACTTGCTACCTTTTCTGAAAATCAACTGAACACAGAGTTAAGGAGTTCTGGGACTTTTCTATGTAATGTCACCATGGCTCTTACTGCACCCTCTTCATTTAGTACAACATAAACATGTCAGAATAGGACCCTTCTGATGAGAAAGGAAGAGCGTGATGCTCAACACAAAGCAGTACTCAATACATACCTGTTTTCATAGTTGTGCCTCTTTAACCGCAGCTGCTATTTTCCTGAGCTCATTCCAATATGGCAGATGAAGGAAGCAGTACGGGAACCTTGCCTGGGCCTTATTAGGGCATTGATTATGGAGCTAAAGGCACATGCAACTTCGCAGGCCTAAATGTTAGAAGCAACACTTCAGACATGTAGGAAAGTTCTAGAACTTGGGGTTTTCCCCCAGGCTGTATTTCCATGTAGCTGGGCCAGAGCTCGCTTACCCATAAAATGGAGCTCAGGGGCGTTTGTGTTCCATTGTTTTCTGAGGTTAAAGTGCAAATGACCTTTGGAAAAGAACATCATTACTTGTTACCATAAACCAGTTTACCCAATTAAAAGGTAATACGAATTATAGTGAAGGAAATGCAGACAGGCAGTTTTCGTAGGTGAACTGGGGGCAGGAAATACATTCAGCGCTTGGATTATCTATGCAGAACAAGTGTGCAGCAATGACAAGCACTTCCTGGTGTTAGATCCTTGAAAGTCATTTGCCTAAATAAGAATTTAGAAGGAGTTGGAGGGGTAGGGAAGGCACCCGTTTACCAGTTGTATCAAGGGCCAGGCCACTTTGGAACAGGCAAAAACCAAAGTCATTATAGGAGATTTGGTTATTTAGTTAAAATAAGACTGTGTGCTTGAGAAATACTTAATTGTCAATCTAATCAAAATGAACACAATGGCTTATTTTATGTGTCAACTTGACCGGGCCTTCTGGTTCAGTTACTTGGCTAAATAGTGTCATGGGTGTATCTGACAGGGTATATTTAGAAAATGTCCATGTTTGCCTTGGTAAGGGAAGTAAAATACATTGCCGTCTACAGTGTTTGAATGAGGCAGAGATCACACTCTATTCCCGTGGGACCGCTCAGGCTCTAGAATTCTGTGAGTCATTTCTTTACAATGTGTATGTGTGGTTGGAGGAGGGGGTGTCTTGTTGGTTCTAGTTCCCTGGGAAGCCTGACTAATATAGAGGCAATGACAAAATTTAAATCAGACACAGATAGAAACATGATTAAAAGGACCCAGAGGCCTATATCATAAATGGAAACAAGAATACAATTTTAACACGGCCCATAGATATTTAGTTTTCAGATTCAGGTACTGTACACCAAGACAAACAAAGTCTGCTTTCTAGATTTGCCCTTTAAGATCATTTCTACAATGCTGTCTTCTGGACAAGGCATGGCCATCGTATTCGGGGACTCAGAGCAGTTACAGTTACCTGCACAAGACCTGCATAAGATCAAACCAATTAGCACTGCCGACATTCCAATAGCCAGCATGAACTGTACTCAGTGGTGACCTAGAGGGGAAACTAGAGGACATGAAAGGGGGAGGATAGGTGTTGAGAGTGTCTTCAGACAGTGGGAGTGGGGAGTTGGGGCTGCATACGAACAAAATAGATTTTTATATGAATGAAATTAAATGAATGTCTAATGTAAAGACATTCTTTACAGATAAATAAAAGAATCCAGCCTTTCACCAAACGATCATTTCCATAGTTTTAAGACTCACTATTAGTACACAGTAGTTTGTTTTTTTGTGTGTGGGTTTTTTTTGTTATTTATTTATTTATTAAAGATTTCTGCCTCCTCCCTGCCACCGCCTCCCATTTCCCTTCCTCTCCCACAACGAGTCCCCCTCCCTCGTCACCCCGAAGAGCAATCAGGGTTCCCTGCCCTGTGGGAAGTCCAAGGACCACCCACCTCCATCCAGGTCTAGTAAGGTGAGCATCCAAACTGCCTAGGCTCCCACAAAGCCAGTACTTGCAGTAGGATCAAAAACCCATTGCCATTGTTCTTGAGTTCTCAGTAGTCCTCATTGTCCGCTATGTTCAGCGAGTCCGGTTTTGAATGTTACTTAACTACTTGTAGTATCTTGCTGGTTCTCTTGTTAAACCATGAGTTAAATAGACATTTTCATGAGCTTACTTTGTTTCATATGAGAGTTATGATTCTGTGTCCTTGAAGAATTGTTCTTTAACACACACACCAGAAAGAACCCCGTACTCTTTGGTCATATAACATTGTGCATGGGGCACGGCAGTTCTCCTCTCTAGACTGATGAAAAGGAATGTCGTCTTATCTTTGCACTTTTACCACCACCCCCTTTTCCCACAGGATCTCCCTGCTTGTCAGCTACCTGGGCCTTGGGCATAGTCCTCACCTGTAAATATTTAAGGGAACGTGAGGATCTATGTCATTGGAATGGGCTTCACTCAGTTTTACCCTAAGGTAAGATTATTTTATCTCTTTAGATTGCTTCTTTTTCTCAGCTCTTGCAGCTGTGATTCTAAAATTTTAACTTTTTTTAAAAAAAATATTTATTTATTTATTTATTTATTTATTTATTTATTTATTTATTAAGCCTGCAGGCCAGAAGAGGGCACCAGATCTCATTACAGATGGTTGTGAGCCACCACGTAACGGTTGCTGGGAATTGAACTCAGGACCTTTGGAAGAGCAGGCAATGCTCTTAACCGCTGAGCCATCTCGCCAGCCCCAAATTTTAACTTTTTTAAAGGCACGTGATGATTAGCTTTGTAAAGAATGACTGCATGGCCGGGCAATGGTGGCGCACGCCGTTAAGCCCAGCACTTGGGAGGCAGAACCGGAGGCAGGTGGATCTCTGTAAGTTTGAGGGCAATCTGGTCTACAAGAGCTAGTTCCAGGACAGGCTCCAAAGCTACAGAGAAACCCTGTCTCATAAAACAAACAAACAAAGACTGTATGTATTTTATCTGCATTTCTCCATTTAGTCAGAGACCTCAGCCTTATAGGAATGGGTGTATTTGTATCCTCACAATAATGCTATGTCATTGTTTTATGACTCTTTCTATTGTGCAAAGATCAGAAAAAAAACGGATAAAATATTCAGCAAGTATTGATAAGCCAAAGAAAGGTAAATGGCAGGGGATCAAGATTGATTAGCAAGGATGAAGGCTTAGCATGTACCTGGCCCAGTCATTTCTCAAAAAAAAAAAAAATCCATTGATTTATAGATAAAAAACTGAGCCCCAGAGAGATTAAGTAATTCATCTAAGATCACAATTTCGTGTTAGGATTAGGTATTTCTGAACCCCAAGCTTGTGCTTTGTTGTTCTCTGGAGGATCAAATAGTTAGCATTCCCCAGGTGGTCATGACGCAGGCCTTTAATCCCAGCACTTGGGAAGCAGAGCCAGGTGGAACTCTGTGAGTTATGGGCCAGCCTGGTCTACAAATAGTTCCAAGACATCCAGGGATATTACACAGAGAAACCCTGTCTGAAAAGAACAACAACAACAAAGTAATATTCAATTCTAGAGGACAGTTGCTACCCAGCTCACCAACTCCCCCTTCTTTGCAATGAGAAGTTTATGTTCAAGGCCAGGCTTTCTATAGAGCCAGTTTAAGTAAATCACTGGTCAGTGAAGTTCTTGACACAGATTCGTTTCCACTCTGGTAAGCGTCTGAGTGTTCAGGGCATAGTAACTTATAATGCCAACTTTGTAGTTTTTATTTATTTACTGTTCTTTCTTTTTCTTTTTCTTTTTTTTTTTTTAAAGACAAGGTCTCACTATGTAGCCTTAGATGGCCTGAAACTGCTGTGTAGACCAGGCTGGCTTCAAAATCACAGCAAATCACCAGTCTGCCGCCTCAGTGGGATTAAAGAAGTGCTCACAACCAGCACCAACTTCGTTTTGCAGGAGCACAGTTCTGAGCTGCAGTGACCAATAGACATACCTTCTCTTGTCTGAGGCTGCATTCAGTGGCATCTGCTCATCTTAATTGGCGCTGAGAAGTACCATCGAACTAGTCTACAAACTGACTAAAGTTAGAAAAAAGACGAAGCATTGTCTGTAGCTGTACCTCTTTAACTGCTGATACTCTTTTCCTGAGTTTATTCCAATATAGCAGATGAAGGAAGCAGAATGGGACCCCTTGGTGTCTCACCTTACCTGAGCCTTAGTGGTCATTGGACAGGGAGCTAAACTCACATGCAGCTTTGCAGGCCTTAGTGTTATAAGTAACACATGCAGGAAAGTTCTAGAACTTGGTTTTTTTTTTTTTTTTTTTCCCAAACTGTATCTCCATGTAGCTGGACCAGAGCTCTCATAGATGCAATGGAACTCAGGAGCATTTGTCTTGAGAGTCATATTTTTTAATACTCTTTATTCCCACATTATAAGGCTTTTGGTCCAACTTATTTTTAAATGGATTGCAGTTAAGATCTTTGCTAACTAAGTGACATCATGCATGTTCCCACATCTCATTAACGAATTATTACCTTATACATTATAAAAATTATTCATAATAATTTTTCTCAAACCATTAATTATTCAGCTCTTCCCTCAGGCATGAAATGGGGTTTATTTCAGGGCTTCTTAAAGGTATTCTTTTGACAGAGTATGTCATAAAAGCTCAAATGTATTCATTCCCTTTTCAAATTGTGGATTTAACCCACCACAAAACATTCTGACTTCATAAAGAAAGGGAACATGTTAAAAGCAAGTGCTATGAACATAATACTTCCTCTGGGCACACATGCTAGCCAAAATACCAAACTACCTTTTAAAAGAAACGCTTTCAGAGTGACTAGCTTGTCATTCACCTGAGGGTTCATGTATAAAAACACCCCACCCCAGGTAAAGTAAAGGATAACCATGCTATAATCTACAGACCCAGAGGAGCTAAGGAACAAGGAGGGCCCAAGGTGGGGATGCAAGGATCTCCCCGGGAAGGGGAACTAGAAGAGAGCTCGTGGGTGGACTGGGGGATGGAGGGGTCCGGTTGAGGTGGGTGGAGGGGAGAGTACTGAAGGAGATGACTGGAAAGGGGAAGAATTTCACGGTTATGCAGAAACCTGACGCAAGGGAAACTCTCACAGATCTACAAGACGATGCCAGCTGAGACTCCTAATAATGGTGGATACAGAGACCGAACTGGCCATTTCCTGTGATCAGATTGTTGACTACCCCAGTTGCCACCAGACAGTCTTAACTGATGACAACAGACGCAGAGACCCACAGCCAAACATTAGCCCGAGCTAGGGGCATCCTGCTGAAGAGAGGGAGGAAGGAGTGTAAAAGCCAGAGGGGTCAAGGACATCACAAGAAAACCTCAGAAAGACCCAACCTGATTCATAGGAACTCACAGAGTTTGAATCAACAACCAGGGAGCCTGCATGGGACTGACCTGGGCCCTCTGTATATAGTGACAGTTGTGAAGCTTGGTCTACTTGTGGGATACCTATCAACGGGAGCAGAGGATGTCCCCAACACTTATACCCGGCTCTTGGGAACCTATTCCTCATACTGGATTGCCTTGGCCAACCTTAATATGGGGGAGCAGGGGGTGGTGCTTAGTCTTACTACAATGTGATACGTCATGGGAGGCCTGCTCCTTTCTGGACAGAAACAGAAGAGGAGTGGACTGTGGGGGGAGGGAGTGGGAGGAAAGAAGGGAGGGGAAAGTCTGATTGGGATGTTAAATAAATAAATTAAATTAAAAAATAATATTCGAGCCTAGGTAATATGCCCTGTGATGCAATTGCAAGTCTAGTGTCTCAAGAAGGAGATTTCTGGGGGAGTGGTCTGCCATCTCCCTCAGCTGGGAGAGGACCTACTCATTCTCAGTCACTGGAAGGCCGAGAGAGTGTGCCATGAGGATTGTGAGTGAGTCTCGGATGGGGTTTACCAGGGTCCCTTTATGTTGGAGCAATGCTACTGCCCGAATGTGGTCGTCCTCCCCATCCCTTCTTCAATTTGAACATGCTGTACTCGTTTGCTGTTGGAATAAACGAGATGAAGTAGGATGTTTACAAACTGCTGCCCGGTGCATTTCCTGTGCTTGGTGCCCCTCCCTCGTTGCTCTCATCCTCTCTGTTCGTGCAGAAGTCGATACTTGGACACTCATCTGTTCTCTTTCAGTCTGGATGTAGAAGTCACACTCCACCCCTGCCTACCTCAGAAAGGTTAGGCTGAATTTGTGACCAGTCAATGACAAGACTTGACTCCATCCCCGCCTGTGGAGGGGCACTTCTCGCAGGATGCATGGCTGCTGCAGGCGGGTCTTTGCCAGCAGAATGCAGAGTGAGCTGAGTGTTCTGAGCCACAATGGACATGGGCATCCTTTTTATTTTCTCTCACAGGCAGGTGGCCTAAATGCAGCCTGTCTCTGTCTTTTTGTTCCTCTAGATATTGGTATGTCCACCTCGAGCTACACACTTGTCCCTTAAGGCTTTGGGGTGAAATAGGATGCAGAAAGAGGAAGGAAAATCTTAGATGCGGAACAAAGTCACTTGAGAGCAGTCGCATCAGCCTGGGTCTTTGATTTTGTGTATTTGTGTCTTAAATGCTGGTTACTATAGCTACTGCAAGCTACGAATACAAAGGAGTCTGGCAGGGGCTTTTGCGGAGACCCGTGTACCATTTATATTTTTTTAGAGCTTTGCTTGCACTGAATGTCAAGTCAAGGACCACCTACTTAACCCATGATTAAGCTGAGACTGAAAATGCAGCCCTAATTAGGCACCTGACAATGATTCTCAGAACGAGCCCCAGACTGAGCTTTCCAGTTTTCCGCGGCCGTGGAAGCGTGCACGGAGCAGAACTAATCAGGAGGAGAACCTCAGAAGCACACTGTAAGCTCATTAGCATCTCCACTTATTCAGTCTCAGATGCTCCACGCCAGGTTTATTAATTTGAATTAACAATGGCTAGCAATCACCCTTTATACCCCTTAAATGATTAGATGAACATTTTCCCATGTCATTAGACATTGCAAAGGTTTGAACATAAGCTGTGGCGTAGCAGGGAGGAGGAACAAAGGCCAGACAAACTGAAAAGCAGCCTGCCCAACCTTTGAGTATATCTGTATTTTATAACTTCTCTTCTGTGGCCAACACACTGTCTTAAAAGCCGCCACAAACTCCTAGCTCTCTTTCCAGTGAATTACACTGCTCTATGACCAGAGGCCATACTCTGCAAGAGCTATATTCTTGCTTTCCTAAAACCTGTACTGCAAAACTGAATGACAGGGGCAATTGTCAAAGACCTCAGCTTTCACAGTGAAGCAAAAAGGCAAGCGGCCCCTCTGGCCCTGATGGAAATGATTACCAATTTAGGAGTTCCCACAGAGAATCCGCTCTCCATGATGCATGGAAAGATTTCCAGAATATAATCTAATAATAGCAAAATAAATAGAAATTCTAAATAAATACTCCAACGAACCCATTGCCACATCAGTAGTGGAAACCCAGAGTGCTGGCTCTCTCTGAGATTTGCTGTGATCCAGAGCGTGTCCGAGCTATGCACCCAATCTTAATGACATATTGAGATGTGGAAAGACATCGTGCTTTTCCACAGAGAAGAACTGCACCGGAAAAAATGTGGCTCACCCATGATTCCTTGCACAGAGATGACATGCACAGGGATCCTAGCTGAGGCTTGTTCTCCCTTCTGTCTCTTGTCATGTTTTGCCGCTCTGTGTACTATTTCTTTTTCCATTGTAACTCTTATTGTGTTTCCCTGTATCTCATCATGCCTACCATGATGATCAAAAGTTACTATTTTCCAAATAGTTAAAATCCATGCAAAAATACGTACTAATGATGGAAACATGGAAACCATGTTCCAGAAAAAAAGAAAACAAACCCAACTCTATTTGTATCATTTGCCATTTTTAATTTTAAAACCGTCTTGCTCTGAAGCCCTAGATTCCATATTCACAATGTTGCCCAGGTTGACCTTGAACTTGGAACTGTCCTCCTGTGTCAACTTCCCATTGTGGGAAGCACAAGCATGCGCTACCGTGCCCACCTTTCATTTGCATCTTAGCGATGTTCTTTTAGATATTTTTGTTACCATATTCATAGTGTATATAAAACAAACATGTAATTTAATTCTTTTCATAAAAATGAGACTGTCCCACATATAATTTTATACTCTATGTTTTACACATATAGATTGCTAATATGTAAATGTATTAGTAAATGGCCTTCTGCAGCTTTTTTTTTTTTTTTTCAGGTGGCCTGTTTGGAAACAGACTCTCACTATGTGTCTCAGGCAGGCCTTGAATTGAGTTCCTCCTGCCTTTGTCTCCCAAGTGCTGAGGCTGTGAGTGAGCACAGTCACTCCTGGCTACAGCTTCACACTATAAATGGTGATCTATAACATTGAATGCAACATCTAATTCTCTCTCTGTCTTTGTGTGTGTGTGTGCATGCATGTGTGTGCTTGCATGTGTGTGTGGCACACACATGCATATGAGGGTTAGAGAATGTTCTTGGGTATCTTTTTCAACTTCTTCTCCACCGTATATTTTGAGACAGGGTCTCTCAGTGAGTCAGAGACTGGCTGACCAATGAGCCCCAGGGAGTCTCTTGGCTCCACTTCCCCAGCACTGGGCTTGGAGGCACAGGCAGCCACATAAGACTCTTTAAGTGGGTGCTGGAGATCTAAATTTAGGTCTTGATGTTTGCCCAGCAAGCAATTGACTAACTCAGGTTAACTAGTTCCTTGTGGGATGTATACTCATTTTGTCTCTAATTTTTCTATGTAGTGGAAATATTGAATTGATAATTGCATTTTTATTATCAACATTTACACACATTCTTAAATACAAATACATGGTTATTGGTTGGCCATTGTTGGTCTAGTGGTGTTTCTAAGTCTAGTAAACTGTACAGCATCAGGGGCACACTCTGGAGGCTCTCTCCTTTCTCTACTCTGTGGTACATCACAGAGTTGAGCATGATCTTGTACTTTACAGCCACCTTGTTTCCCCGGCAGTTAGGAATTTAGCCTCTGCTAGAGATGAGAGAAGAAGACTTAAAGATCTGACTGGATAAAATGTTTTTATTAATGGAAAAGTCCAGCCCTGCTCCTTGTGGTGAATGCTCAATAAAACTGTTCTCCAGGCACCAAAGTGACAGAAAAAAATGCTACTCGTACAAAAAGATGAATTGGGGGAGTCAAGTGTCAAGGTCAGATCATCTTCTAAGAAGGTACACGGAGAAGGAAGCCCTTCCCATGAGAGACTGCCATCGGGTCCTGAAATCCAACCATTCGCGGGACACCTCAGGTCCTTCTGAGGGCTGCAAATCTCCTTGATCTTTCTGCCTGCGGTGTTTCAGAGATGTTTACAGTAACTGTAACCCAAGACTCTCCTTTCAGGAAAGGAATAAGCGGTAACCTGACCCCAGAAAGCTTTCTGCTCTGGGCTTTTAAAACAGTGAGGAGAAGGGTTGTCCCCACCCCCACCCCCATGGCCTCTCTCCAGGAAGGGAAAGAAGATGGCAAATGCATTCGGTTGCTTTCTAAGGGAACCCCAGGCACTGCAGTGGGCAGTGCCCTACTGTTGTCTCATTGCTTCTTCCCAATCTCATGGAAGGTTCATTAGTGTCCAGTTTTATGGAAGAGGAAAACTGCAATTCAGAGAGTGAGAAAACCTTACTGTTAATTACGTAATTCGCTAGTGACAGACTGGCTATGAACACAGTGTTGTCAGACTTCAAATCCCTTATGTTTCCTTCTAGACTTCCACATTTGAAAAAGCTTCCCTAGGACTGCATTGCCCAGATCGGGATAATTATTCTTTGCTATAAAGCACATGCCTTGACTAGCTAGGCAAGTATGAGCTCTTGAGTGGGGATCCTTTGTCTTGATAGCAATCCTCAGATTCTAAACACAAGGTTTAGGATTCCCGGCTTGGCTGAAAATCCACCTGTACCAGTGACTGCAAAGACAGGTCTCATCCCCTCTGTACTTTGTAAGGGGAGCAAGGTGGGACCCTTCAACTAGAGTCTGTTTATTGCTCAGCCGAGGCAAGGGTAATAGGTTTGGCTGGTTCCATAACTGGGTAGGGCAGACCCTCATTTTCTATTGCTAGAGAGAGCTGAGAGATGCTACATAAAATTCTGGTTAAAAAGGGTATCAGATAATAGTGAAATATTGTTTCAAAGCATGTAGTAGGAAGTTACTTCTTCATCCCGGCCACCCAGAACCGAAATAACGGCACAGAAACTGTATTAATTAAATCACTGCTTGGCCCATTAGTTAGTTCTTAGCTTCTTATTGGCTAACTCTTGCATCTTAATTTAACCCATCTCCATTAATCTGTGTATCACCACGTGGCTGTGCCTTACTGGCAAAGAATCAGCATGTCCGTCTCTGGCAGCTCCATGGCTTCTCTCTGACTCTGCCTTCTTTTTCCCAGCATTCAGTTTCGTTTTCCCCACCTAGCTCCGTTCTGCCCTGCTCTGCTATAGGCGCAAAGCAGTTTCTTCATTAACCAATGGTATTCACAGCATACTGAGGGGAATCCCACTTTCAATGCACTTTCCAGAATTTTACTCAAGTGATGATAACTTGATG